ACCTCCGGGTGACGTGCACGCGGGAGTGGGGCTTCCCCCGGGGGCCGATTCCGTGGCGGCGGAAATCGGGCCTCCAAAGCGGGGGGAAATCTGCCCCCCGGGGGGACATGGCAGCCCTACCAGATGACCAAGATCAGGTCCCCTGGAGAAAATGGCTGCTTTGGAGGGGGACTCTATTATAGCATCAAACCTTGCTTAGGCCCCTCCCCTCACGGGCCTATAGTGATACGGCCTACAGGCTCTGGGGGGGAGGCCTAGTGGCTCCAGGGAAGCCTGTATTGGAGTAATCATCAGGGCCCGGCCTACATTTCCCAGGTTTCCTCTGGACGCTGTGATTGGGTTACAGGAGATTTTAGAGGGAAAACTACAGCAATAGGGGAACAGAGGGTGGTGTCTGGGAAGAGGAGATAAAAGGTCTTACCCAGAGTGGGAGGGTGTTCTCTCTCAGGGAGCAGGGTTGGTGGTAGAAGCTGCTGCAGACAGAGGGATCCCTTATCCAAAAAGGGGTGTGTTAGATTGTGAACAGGCACCTAGGGAAGGCTGGGACTGTGTAGACAGACGCACTAGGATTTAATATTTTGCTGATTTACCTGCCTTTACTTTGTTCATTTTCCCTACTTGTTATTGATGTAAAGTTGCTGTTGGTTAATCTCCCTTACAAATAAAAGCCGAATGTATTGGTTAATCTCTTAATAAAACAGTTTGTTACTCTGTCTGGGTCCTCACACCTCATTTGGTCACGTACAAGGGGAGAGACCTGTTGTAAAAGTACTTTAACGAGGGGTAGGCTCCACCCTCCCCAAATCTCCAGGTATTTCCCAACCCAGAGCTGACAACCCTATGTTGTGATCATATTCATGAAGATCTTTAAACACCAAACAAGAAGTGCCAGTGTTTTATATACTATTGATTCAGGACACAGAAAGACATGTGGGTGGCTGAACATAGACACCTACCTCACAGGGATATTGTGAGGGTACAATGGCAAGGGGAGAGCCATGTACACCATTCTGAGCTCCTTGGAGGAACCTGAACCCCAATCAGACGGTCAGGGGCCAAAGTGACCCTACAAGGATACTGTATTTGGGTGCAAATTAGTTCAACAACACTGGCATTGAAAGTGCCCTGATCTCTCCCGCCCCCCCCCCTCCCCCCCGTCCTGCTTGGTTCTGCTCTCTTAACTTGCAGCCCTGGTAAGAAATCTTCAGCCAAGGCTACCGCCTGGGCACAGGTCTCGGGGTCATGTTCCCTTACCCAGCTCTGCATTTCTGAGGGAAGGATGTTCAAGAACTGCTCCAAGATCAGCACCTCCAGGATCTGCTCTTTGGTGCAGCTTTGTGGCTTCAACCACTCGTAACAAAGTTCTCGGAGATGGCTAAAGATCTCTTGGGGTTCCTCGGCCTCCTGGTAGCAGAACCGCCTGAAGCGCTGGCGCCGGATCTCCGAGCTGACAGTGTTCACCTCCTCCTCCTCTGGAATCTCTTCCTTCACTTTCACAGAAGGATTCAGGCTGTTGTAGGTCTCTTGTGCTTCGTAGTTAGGGAGGAATCGTGTCACACAGTCCCCTGTCAGGAGCTGACTAGACAGAGTTACTCCCTTAAGGGAGGCCACAAGTTCCTTGTTGTCGTTCCCTGGTGTGGGCGTAGGGGCCTAAGGGTTTTTCAATCCTGTGTTAGGGGATTTTGCTGCCTTCAGGAACTCCTGCCGTTGGACTTCCCAACACTGCTGCGGCCCGTCCTCCGCCTCCAGTTTCACTTGCTGCAGGGCTCTCAGACACTCTCTCCCAGTCTGGGGCACACAGGTGTCTCTCCTAACTAGCCCCAACCTCTCCTTTTCTTTGTGTCCTTCTGGGCTTTGCTCCTCCATTTTTATTCCTGGCTCCAGTTCCTAGGCTGGAAATTCAACAATTGCCAAGTGAGAGCCATTGTGGTGTAGTGGTTTGAGATTTTAAGACTTGAAAAGGCCTGTTCAAGTCCACACTCGGCCAAGAAACTCACTGGGGTGACCACAGGCCAGCCACTTATTCTCAGCCTAACGCAAGTTCATTGTGAGGATATGAGGGGGAGAACCACCATGTACGTCACCCTAAGTACATGAGGGGAAGGGTAGGATCTAAACAAACTCAGTAGCTGCCTAGCGCGTCGACTAACTGCAATAACTATTTCTGGTTTTCTCGAGGGCCAAACTGAA